TCTACGAATATGTTCCGTTTGGGTGAATTTTTCTCGTACTATGGCTAGATATAATCTCACATGTCACTTTCGAAAACATTCGGGACAGAGACACACATTACTGGCCACACATCATGTGTTGTAAATTAAAAACTATCTGATTTTATAGAAAGATTAACAAAGTATGTCCATCAAAATACAATGATTTACAATCAATTGTAATTGGCATTATTATCATAGTATAAACTCATTCGAGCATAATTTCTTTAAACATACACATATAGGTTTTCACATGTTAGTTTTATGGACATATCCAAGTGATAAATCGCTTTCAAGCTGAAATCCAATGGAAAATAGGTAATTGACTATGCCGAACTCGAACTCTACGGTTCCCATGTTGCTAGAGCTCTAGAGTCTCGGCGTTCTGAAAAATCTGTTTACTGCAGCGAAAATCTTTTTCAGGCAAAATATTTTTTTTGTAACGTAGGGTGCATCGAATTGTGTATTAAATAGCTGTTTTTCATTAATTTCGGACGATTTGGTGAGACTAGAGTGGGTATGAGTGTGGCTGTTTACCGAAGAGTAGACTCACACGCACACTGTCAAGATTAACAATCTGAAATGGACAAAACAAACATATATACAGACATAAAGCCTCATCAATGTAGATTATTGAAAAAATGACAAGTTGTTGTTACTTAAACATTTCACATGTTATAACGAGCTCTAAAACAGTGAAAGATAGATTTTTATACACAATTCGATGTGCCCTACAATCTGAACAAATCAAAAAAGTATTTTATCGAAAAAAGATTTTTCGATATTGTAAACTGGTTTCCCAGAGTCTCGAGTCATTGTAGACCAAACAGCATTGGGACCCTGATATTCGGATGCAGCATGATTGATTACCTATTGTTCACTAGATTTCAGCTCAAAAGCAATATCTCACTCGGATATGTTCTCTCGTTAGTTTTTCATTATCTATAAACAATATGTCTTTTTACACAATATTCTTTAAACCCTATGAACTTTTTTAATTGATAATTTACTTAATAACAATATTAACTAATGTATTACTCTATGGTAAAAAGATCTGAGTAAGTTTGATTAAACTCAAACAAATGTCATCAATCTCCCATTTTTGATACATCAATGATAGACCAATAGGAAAAAGGTCTATTGATGAATCATCGTCATTTGTAAAATCGACAAATAAACAAATGAGCGTTGACATTAGTGCCATTGTTTTAGAAAAAAAATAGTTATTTCAAAACCTTTTCATATAGATTGATTTCTACATGTTATCTAAATTCTAATATTAAATCGGATTGTTATGTATATTCACTTAATATGTAAAAAATAAACAATATGGCTATCGTCATTGGTTTACTTCTTTTTTTTGAAATCTATGTTTTATTTTTTTATTTTTTTTACACGTTTTTCTTGTCTTCTATTTTTTATTAGATATGTCGACAAATGATTCAAAATTATTTTCATCAATTAAATATTTTACAACTGGTTTCCGTGATTCAACACTTGAAAGTATATTTAAACAAAATGGTGCTATAAGATCATTTTATTTGACTGAAACAACAACACATGTCATATGTGATGATTTTGACAGTAATAAAAGTGAATTAGAACAAGCTATTGAAATATATCAAACGCCAATTGTTAATTCAAATTGGATAACATCATGTTTAAAATGTAATACATTATTACCAATTGATCCATTTCGTAGTGTTGATAGTAATAATACAGAGCATTTATTTCGTTCATGTACATTTGCAAATGCTAATTTATTAAATGAAGATCATTATAAAATATATGCATTAGTTACTTATTATGGTGGTCGATGGGCAACAAATTTAGATGATCCTAATTGTACACATATTATATGTGCATCAGCATTATCAATAAATAATACTGATGATGAAATTATTAATAATCATCGAAATAATGATGAACGTCTTCATATTGCATACGAAATTCAATCAGAAAAAAGTCATTTAATAACACCAGATTGGATTATTGATTGTTTAAATGCTAATCGTTTATTAGATGAAATTGATTATCATCCTGATTTATTAAAAGATCCAAATGAACCAATGGATATTGATGATGATGAATTAGATGATGAACATAATAATAATCCATCAACAGATGAACATACACCGACAAAAA